GTGTGTGTGCGCATGTATGTGTGTGTGTGTGTGTGTGTGTGTGTGTGTGTGTGTGTGTGTGTGTGTGTGTGTGTGTGTGTGTGTGCAAGTTTTGGTCCTGAGGAGTATGGAGCCACCTCTTAGCTACCATTAATCCCAAGTCCACTTCTGACCAGTGTGGAAGACCTGTGATAGTCCCATCTATGGGCTAAATCCTGTTGCCACTGTAAGAGAGGCAACGGGAAACCACACCGATTGATCTTTCCCTTGTATTAATGACAAACATCTCAGGAATTGGCCCTCGGTCTCGTGGAAAAGGCAGGGAATGTATAGAGATTTAATAGAATAGAGGGTCATGGAGAAAATGGATGCCAAAAAGGACCTGTCGTAGGACAGAGCACTAGAATAATATATATATATATATATATATATATATATATGTATATATATATATATATATATATATATACGTACATGCATATATACCCACATATATATACATACATATATATATATGTATATATATATATATATATATATATATATATATATATATATATATATATTTATATATATATCCCAATGCCGATGGGCATGAGGTGTACGTATGTGCTATGCCCAGTGTGAGTTACTTGTTTGATTGTTTTTACACATAGATGGCTACACTTGTACTAAGTCACCAATGAGCCAGTTACGAGTACTGCCTGTCACGCCCGTTCACCCTTTTCTTTGATTTACGAAAACAGCTTTCGTTTTCTTATTTTGCTGTTACTAATGTTTATAACATCATTGTAATTATACTGTTTATAATAAATATTCATAGCACTAGCAAAAAGTACATTTTTCCCGCCAATTCAAATCACGTAAGATCACAAGGTCTACTAATTGACTCTTTTGTGGCCAAGCACTAGCAGAGACATCTATGTGTTTAGACATTTTATAAAAAAAAATATAGAAAATGAGCACAGCATTTCCCCCATTTTTTATTAATTTTCTCCGGCGGCATTAGGATATATATATGTGTGTGTGTGTGTGTGTGTGTGTATAAATGTATACATATATATGTATATATATTAATATATATATGTATTCATGAGTGTGTGTGTGTTTGTGTGTGTGTGTGCGCGCGTGTGAGTGTGTGTTCTGGCTGTGTGTCCCCCCCACGATTTCGAATTCGAGAAAATCCATTAAGCAACAAAAGGAGGTATTGGCCGTGCACTGAAAGGAGTAGATTAAAGAAAATTTCATAAGAAAAAAAAAGTAATCATACCTATTCTGCGTAGTGTTTTGTATCACTTTATTTTTATTCAGTTTTTAAAAAGATTAATTACCAAGTTTAAATATATTTTGTCGTGGATATATAAAGCGAATAAGATTCAGTGAAATGCGGGATAGTTACAGGTACTTTATTTTTTAAGCTTCTAAACATGACAAAATTCCAGTAGTAATGTAATACATGTACCAAATAATTTTGTCGAGCTACATAAAATGAAAAAAGTGTTTATGCAATTAGAAATTCGTTCACTGAATATTTCTTTTACCATCACCAGCACCATTACGGGAAATGAGAAAGGGGAGACATGAAACCATAGTCTTTTCGACCCATGCACAAAGAACACGAAGAAACACCCATGATGAAATTGGTCAATGGGTCAGGATGGATAGTTGGCAATTTCCAAGGCGACAGAGAAGGAATCTTTGTTTCGTAGGAGTCGAGTCCATCATGGCCATTGTTCGAATAGTATGGCCACAGCTGTTGGTTATAGTAGGCCATTATATAGTCCTGAGGGTCACTGGCAGTCTTGACATCGGGAGTGAATCGTCTGTGATGCAGAGGAGAGAGCCCCGTGTAGTCGTTTTGCTGCAGGGAAAAAAATCGGAGATCGGGACAACCTGAGCTCGCTCGTGGGTTGGTTCCGGAACCAGCCCAGAACTCAAGAGATGTTGAGCTCCTCATCGGCGTCGTCGAATCGCCATCCGAGTCTTTCATCGACCTTTTCCCCATCTTCCTCTGCCAGGTGTCGACGGATCCCTCATGCCGGAAGCGTCGGATCCACTTGTAGACGGTAGTGGAGCTCTTGCCGAATCTCCTCGCGATCTCTCTTGCCGGGACGCCGCTGAGCCACATCTTGACGATCATGATTCGCATAGGTTTGCGAGTGTGGCGGAACACCTGTCGCGGCTGCATGGTCGGTCTTCTGTGTGTGAGGGCAGAGTGGGGAGTCAGTACCTCGTTCGGGAGTCTCATTACTGGGGACAGCTGGGGAATGCAAGTCTACACCCATGTGCACTGTAATATGTTCTGCGCGGTTAAAAGATGTTCTGATATACTTTCAGCGCCGATAAAATG